CTGTGTTTGCTGTGAGGTAGGTCTGAGGGCTCCAAGTCAGGACCTTCTGAATCAGGAGACCTCCACAGCTTCTTCCTCCACAAAGATAAAAACTTTTAGATGGAATCTATAAGTATGACACCTACAGACAGAATACCTAATTCCTTCATTTCTCCCCCAGTCAATACAGAATTCAGGATTCTCTGTTTCCCCTACTCTGACCCATTTGGAAATCACCCCTAGGTTAGATGCTTGTTGCCCATAGTGACACAAACTCAGGATATTGTGGTAATAAGTAAGGACTTGCACGCAGCCATCATGGGCTCTTAGTACACAAAGAAGGGAAACTTCTCCAGTAAAACTACCTCAGAAGTGGACAACTGACCCTTTTATAAGAGGTATTGGCTAATTTTCCTTAATCTATGCAATACTGGCATTCCAGTCCTATACCCTGAGCAGATGGGCTAATGCTTGGCTACTGAGCTAGAACCCCAGTCCAGTGGGGAGAAATAGGACATCAGTCTGGCCACTATACTTTCCTGTGTGAACACAGAACTGAAAGACAACAGGTGATTAAAACTAACAACCAGTGATTTGGCCTCAATCACATGAGCAAATCCCAGTGCATTAAAAAAGAAGAAATATGAACAAAGCAACATGACCCCTCCCAAACTCACCAGCCCCACAGTAACAAACAGTAATAGTGAAGTTGATGAAATCTTAAAGAATTAAAAAGGATTATAAGAATGATTAGTGAAATGAAAAGGGGCACCAGTAAAAGCCTGAAGAAAACTTAATTCAAAGAAAACTCAAAACTCAAAATTAGAATTCTGAAAATGAAAAGCTGAATAAGTGAGATAAAATAAGTTACTAAAGGGCTGGGAAGGTGGCTCAGTGGTAGAGCGCTTGCCTTGTATGCATGAGGCCCTGGGTTCGATTCCTCAGCACCACATAAGCAGAAAAAAAGCTAGAAGTGGCGCTGTGGCTCAAGTGGTAGAGCGCTAGCCTTGAGCTGAAGAGCTGAGGGACAGCGCCCAGGCTCAAAGTTCAGGCCCATTACTGGACCCAAAAAAAATTTAAAAAGTTACTAAAAAGTCTCTCCAGTACACTGGATCAAATTGAAGACAAAGATTTGTCAAAATATGCAGATTAAGATAAAAAAACTAAAGTATAAATAACATAAAAGACCCTCTAGGATACCATTAAAAGATCAAGCCTACAAATTATGGACATACAAGAAATCATACAAGTTAAATGTATCAAAAAGATACTCTATAAAATAGTAGCAGAGAATTTTCCAGATCTTGAAAGAAATTGTCATCGGTAGGAGAGTTTTTGGACTTCAGACAGGCAACAGAACTCCTACATACTAGAGAAAGAATATGAGAATTGAAAAAGCAGTGTCGAGACCACTTATAAAGGCAAACCCATCAGAATAACAGCACATTTCTTACCTTTAAGAGCAAGGAGGATATAGATTGGTGTACTTCAAGTCCTGAAACAAAATAACTGCCAACCTAGATAACTATATGCAGCAAAGCTGCCCTTATACTTGGAGGAATACAAATTTATAATAAACAACAGAAGCAATTTATAGCCCCTCTAAATTAGTGCTGCAAATGGGGGTGTCCTACACACACATAGAAAAGGAAAAGTCAGCCAGGAAAATATGGAAGAAAATAAATCTCACTAGACAAGAGATAAGCAAATAGTGAGGAAGAGTAAAACAGTGCAAAAGGGATAAAATGGCAGTAATACTATATAATTTTCAATAACTAAATGTTTATGACTTCATATCTCCAATCAAAAGATAGACTGGCAAGGGGCTGGGAAGGTGGCTCAGTGGTAGAGCGCTTGCCTTGCATGCATGAGGTCCTGGGTTCGACTCCTCAGCACCACATAAGTAGAAAAAAAAAGCTGGAAGTGGCGCTGTGGCTCAAGTGGTAGAGTGTTAGCCTTGAGCTGAAGAGCTGAGGGACAGCGCCCAGGCCCAGCGATCAGGCGCTAAGACTGGACGCAAAAAAAAAACAAAAAAAAAAAAAAAAAAAAGATACACTGGCAGACCCAACTATTTATTGACTATAAGAAGTGTACCTCACTGACAAAGATAAATGTAGGCTCAGAGTGAAAGGATGTAAAAAGATTTTCCAAGTACATGGAGTCTAAAAACAAACAGGATGAGTTTTTCTAGCTAACAAAGGAGACTCAAACCAAAATTAGAATACACTAAGATCATTCATAGAATATACCATATAACAAATACACTTAAGATAATTTAATAGAGGACCAGTGTCAATTCACATATTATAAAGATTAATAGTAGCTAAATTTATTGTTAATACTTGGTTTAATATTTTTAAGTAAAATTGGACATTTGAATTCTGAAATTAGTAATATATTAATACAGACACTTTTCATGTTTTCTTTAAAAAAAAAGTAGAAAAGATAAAACCAATGAGTCAACCATAATTGTTGAACCTTTGCTTAACCTCTGTGTATGCTTGCCAATATTATTTTAAGACTATTGTCAGATCAATTTCATGAAATAACTTTCTCATCATAGGCAAAAAATAAAACTTGAGTTCTACATGGAAATAGTTATTTTAGTCTTTATGATCATTTGAGTATTCAACAATTTATGTGGAGTTGAAGTGAGATTTACTTTTTTGTTATTGTTCTGGTTCTGGGTGTCAACTTAGGATTTGGATACTGTCCCTGAGCTTTTTTGCTCAAGGTTAGCACTCTACCACTAGAGCCACAGCTCCATTTCTGGTTTTTGTGGTGCTAAATTGGAGATAAGAGTTTCACCTACTTTTCCTGCCCAACCTGTGTTCCAGCCTTGATCCTCATATCTCAGCCTCCCGAGTAGGATTACAGCCATGGGCCACCGATGGCCAGCTAAGATTTTTTGTTGTTGGTCATGGGGTTTGAACTCTGGGTCTGGGCACTGTCCCTGAACTCTTCAGTACAAGATGAGCACTCTACCACTTGAGCCACAATGCCACTTCTGGTTTTCTGGTGGTTAAGAGTGATAAGAGACGGACTTTCCTGCTTGTGCTGGCTTTGAACTGTGACTCAGATATCAGCCACCTGAATAGTTAGGATTATAGGCGTGAGTGAGCCACCAGTACCCAGCCTTAAGATTTACTTTTTAATCTTATTATATTTTCTTTGATGAATGAAAATAAGGTAGAAATATTATTCAAGAATCTTTTACTATGGACAAAATAGATTATTGGAATTTTTAAACTTTAGTTATGTATGTAAATTTAAAATAGAAAGTAGGCAGGGCACTGATGGCTTACACTTGTGAGCCTACTAGCTTTTCAGGAGGCATAGGCCTGGGAGGATTGAAGTTCAAAGCTAGCCCTAGTAGAAAAATTTATGAGACTATCTCTAACCAGGAAAAAAAAAAAAGCTGGCTTGCCAGGTACCAGTGGCTTATATTGATAATTCTTGCTACTGAGGAGGCTGAAATCTAATGACTGAGGTTTGAAGCCATGAGATTGTACTTTCTGGTTAACCACCAAAAAGCTGAAAATGGAGCTGTGCCTCACGTGGTAGAGCACTAGCATTAAACAAAAAAGTTCAGAGATAGTAGCCCCGCCCTTAGTTTGAGTCCAGGATAGACACACACGCGCGCGCACACACACACACACACACACACGCACTCTCTCTCTTTCTCTCTCTCTCTCTCTCAAAGCTGGGCTGGAGGTATGGCTCTAATGGAAGAATACCAGCTTGCGCAAACTAGCCTAGCTAGCAAGCTCCCAAGTTTAAGTCCTGATACCAGAAAAGAAAAAAAAGTGAAGCAGCTTGCCTTGTACCCTTCTAAGTACTTTTTGTGTGTGTGCACGCATACTCTGTAGTTTAGGGAACTGAAAATACAGTCCATAAGGAAACAAAGTCCCTGTCTTTCTTGAGCTTTCATTCTGGTGGAAAGATGAATAGTTACCAAATAGATACTTGTACAATGCAATGTAATGATCAGCAACATGAAAACAAAACAAAAAAAAGTGGTATAAGAGCAGTATAATAGAGGATACTTTTAAGCATCATGGTCAGAGAAATACCCTCAGTTTTGGTACCCTCAAGCACTTGAGACCTGAATTAAATAATTGACCTAGCTATGTAATTGTCTGGGAAGAAGAGCATTCTATAGGAGAGAAAGGAAGTGCAAGTAGCCTGGGAAGCAAATTACATTATTGTGACAATAAAAAGGAACATAAAGAGTGAAGGTGAAGATTAAGAGTCTGGTAGAGGTTAAATCACACCAGGTCTTGTATGTCCTAAGTTCTTTAGATTGTAATCTTTTAGAGGAAGAAAACAAGGTAATAACAGAAACTGAATAGCTTTTTAGAAATATTTCATAGGTTGTTGAATAGGGAGATGGCAGTAGAAGCAGAGAGACCTATCATGAAGTATAAATACATTTAATGATTTCAGATTCATGGATAATTAGGTATGCTGCCATGATTCTAGTTTTTATTTAAGCATTAGATTACTATCCAGAATAGCAATAAAAACATAAATCAGTTGTGAAATTGCAGAGGAAATATAGTCTTAGATTCTTTTTACTGTTTATTCAGATTTATTTTTTGGATTGCAACCTGAAGTTACATATTGAAATACCGCATTTGTTTATGACTTTCCTAAAGTGCTTTGTGTATCAGATTTTCTTTCCCAAATTGTTTCTGTGCTATGACACATTTTCTCATACCAATTGTAGATGTAGACTAAACTATTACAAAAACAAACTTATCCACTAAATAATTAGTGCTTTGATCCTTAATCTTAATGTTTCAATTTTTTTAATGTAGAAGAAAGACTGTCAGACTGATCTATCCTTCCTATTGCATAAAAAGCTTAGAAATTGTATGGGGAGGATAAAATGGTATCATGTCTAAATAAGGTTTAACTTTTTATACAATTAACAAAGGGAATTCTTAAAATGCTGGTGAAGGGGATTTATTGCTTATACAGAAGATTTGACCTTGTGAATTGACTTATTCTTCTTCAAGGCACTTGAGAGAAAAGACAACGATAGCAGTTACATCTAGAGGCTATTATGGATTGGAGGATGAGAAGGGAACTGCATGTACTTCAACAAGGCGTCGGTCAACACCTCGAAGTTTGGCAGGCTTGACCAGTGGAGTTTTTGAGTCTATAATGGTTCAAGTTTTGAGACAGGAAGAACAGCTGAGAGCAAAAGAAGAAAAAAGGTAATGCCAAAAAAAATTAAGTTTTGTGATGTTCAGATTTTCAGGAATTAGCTTTTCAAAGAATGGCTATATAACTTTTATGTGCCCAAATCAATTTTTGGGCCTATTTTAGTAGTATTCCAAAATGCAGTGAAAATGAGTTGATAATAAAATATCACAATGACATTTGTTTAAGAATACAGTTAAATTTTAAAACAAAAATTTTATTTTATTTTTTTGTCAGTCATGGGGCTTGAACTCAGGACTTGGGCTCTGTCCCTGAACTTCTTTTTTTTGGGGGGGGGTCTGGTCGTGGGGCCTGAACTCTGGGCCTGGGCACTGTCCCTCAGGTCTTCAGCTCAAGGCTAGCGCTCTACCACTTGAGCCACAGCACCACTTCTGGCTTTTTTCTTTTTGCTTATGTGGTGCTGAGGAATCGAACCCAGGGCCTCAGGCATGCAAGGCAAGCGCTCTACCACTGAGCCACCTTCCCAGCCCTGAGCTTCTTTTGTTTAAGGCTAACACTCTACCACTTTGAGCCATAGCACCACTTCCAGTTTTCTGGTGCTTAAGTAGAGATAAGAGTCTCACAGACTTTCCTGCTTGGGCTGGCTTTGAACTGCAATACTAAAATCTCAGCCTCCTGAGTAGCTAGGATTACAGGTGTGAGCCACTGCATCTAACTAAAGCAATTTTTTTTTTTTGCCAGTATTGGAGCTTGAACTCAATGCCACATGCTCTTGTTCAGCGTTTTTGCTCACAGCTGGTAGTCTACCACCTGAGCGACACCTTTCAGCTTTTTGCTGGTTAATTGGAGATAAGAATCTTTTGGATTTATCTGCCAAAACTAGCTTCAAACTGCAATTCTCATATCTCAGCTTCCTTAAGATTATAGGTATGAGCCATCTGTACCTAGCAAAACAAATTATGTTGGAGTTATAAAAATAATTTTTATAAAAGTTTCCAGGATAGTTCCTAGGTTCTAGAAATACTCTCAAGACAATTTTAAATTTGAGGAATTTTACATAGACTTCCAGTTTTAGAATAGAATAGCAGAGCTTTAAAATTAGGACACACTACAGAGATTTTGTAGTTCAAGAATTACATATAAATTCATTTTTGCTAGTTTCTCCATTGATAATAATTTCCTGAGAAAATGATTGTTCTTAACTCAACAGGTAAGAACTTAATTAGTGGTCCTTCTCGAATTTGGTAGCATGAAGTGATGACAGTTCTATAACATTTAGTTACAACAAAAGGAAGTTAGGGCTCAGAGAGATAAAAAAAATTCAGAGTTCTATACTTGATTGGTGATTTTTATTTGAAACTATATCTCAGAGTATGTTGGGAGTGACAGTTGGTATAGTAGGAATATTCTGATGTTAGTAAAAAGCAATTTATGATATTTTGCTGCTCTTATAATAATTTCCTTTGATTTATAGGGTTAAAACTCAGCTTTGGGTTTTCCTATTGTCATACTGTCATGCAGTGATTAATTTGGGAGCCCAAATTAATTGATTAATTTATGCTCAGCTCCATAAAGTTTTTCTGCTTTAAGAAGTGGGAGCTTATAGAGAGGGATAAAAATTAACCTGGCAGTATTGTATAATACATTGGATTAGGGAGAACTGAAAAACTGGAAAGCTAATAGGAAGATGACTATAGTAATCTAGACTTTCACTGTAAGTCACTAAAAATAGATAGAAATTATATTGTTCTAGGAGCAGTTATTAGGATATAGTACCTTCCTTGAAACAGAGCAAAGGAAGAGACAAATGTGTGTTGCAAAGACTATGAATAGTAACAAGACAGTAACAATAATAATTAACAAGAAGAACATTTTTAAAATGGTTAACATTGGGCTGGGAAGATGGCTCAGTGGTAGAGCGCTTGCCTTGCATGCCTGAGGCCCTGGGTTCGATTCCTCAGCACCACATAAGCAAAATGAAAAAAGCCGGAAGTGGCGCTGTGGCTCAAGTGGTAGAGCGCTAGCCTTGGGCTAAAGAGCTGAGGGACAGTGCCCAGGCCCAGAGTTCAGACCCCACGACCGGACCCCCCCAAAAAATCTTGAAAATGGTTAACATTTATGGAAAATTATTCAATGATTAACATTAGCTCTCAATGCCTTAAATGTAGTCAACATTTATCCTAAGTCACAGAGAAATTAAGTATTTTATCTAAAGTCAAGTAGTATTTAAATGGTAAAATTGATTAGAACCTGAGCAGTCTGGCTTTAAAGCTTGTTCTACTAATCTGTATTCCATTTTTTGACTTGTAAAATGGTGAAAACCTCAAAGACACTGAAAGGGTTGAAAATGTGAGTCCTAGGTAGGATAAGAGCAGTGAACCGATTCTGCATTATGATTTGAAAAATACAAGTAGAAGCCAGGTACAGCGGCTCATGCCTATAATCCCAGCTGTTCAAAAGGTGAAGATTAGGAGGATTTCAGTTTGAGGCTAACCAGGTAAAAAGTCACACGACCCCTTCTCAATGAATAACTGGGTTGGTGGTATATACCTATCATTCTGGTTACATGGGATGCTAAGATTGGCCAACCCATTCAAAAAAAGTTGATGAAACTCCATCTCAATGGAGAATTTGAATGTGTTGATAAGCCTATCATCCCAGCTATTCAGGAAACATGAAGTAGGATGATCTTGATCTAGATGCAGGCCCAAGCAAAAAGTGAGACTTTACCTTAAAAATAACCAGTACAGAGAAAGGGCTAAAGGCATACATGGGTCACACTTAGCTAGCAAGTATGAGGTCCTGAGTTCAGACCCTTTACTGTCCTTCCAAAAAAGAATCCAAGTAGGAAAGGCTAGTAGGAAACTAGAAAAATGTCAAAATCTTCTTTGTTCAATCTTATGTTGTGTGTGTGTGTGTGTGTGTGTGTGTGTGTGTGTGTTTGCGCACGTGTGCACATTAACATTGTATAAACAGGTGAATATGCCATGAGAGAAAGGTCTTAGCAGTTATGATTGCTTAATGGGTCATATGAATTAAGCTATCTTCTGGGGTATAGAGTTTCTTTTTTTGTTGTTTTTGTTGATTCTGGGGTTTGAGCTTGGGTCTTGTGCTTTTTAAGTGTGTGCTCTATCACTTGAGCCACATGCTCAGCCCTTTTTTGCTTTAGTTATTTTTCAAGTAGGGTCTTGTGTTTTTGCTCTATCTTATTTCACTCTACTATCCTTCTACCTGTGGGCTCTCACATAGCTGGTATTACAGGTGCACACTGCCATACCCTGCTTATTAATAGAAATGGGGGTGTCTGGCTAACATTTCCCCAGAGCTGTCCACACACTGTGATCCTCCCTAATTTTCCTTCCTGAGTAGGTGGGATTACAATTCTGAGCCACTGAGCCCAGACAACTTTTTCTTTTTAAATTACAGTATATTTTTTTACATAAAAGATAAATTAAAATTATATACTTTGTACCCACAATGCAGCAAATTTGGAGGGGGGCAGTACTTGGTTGAGCTGAGGCACTTGTGTTTGCTAGTCAGGTTTGGTCATTTCTGAGTTAGAATCTTGTATTTATGCCCAAGCCAGTCTATGCCATGATTCTCCTCTTTACATTTCCTGAATAGGTGGGATAATAGGTGTGTGCTACCACACCCAGCTTTGTATTATTGAGATCAAGTCTCAAGAACTTTCTGCCCTGACTGTCCTTAAACTGTGATCTTCTTGATCTCTGCCTCCAGAAGTAGCTAGAATTATAACTGGAATTAATCACTGCATCTGTCAAATTTTGGGGGGAAAAATGTAGAGCCACAGCAGCAAGATGAGAGTGATATCACCGAACATTCTTCTTCATAGACATCCCTAATAAAACAGATATATTCTCACACCTAATTTATTGGTGGTAAAGTAATCTTGACTTCATCTTCCAAGCCACAGGTAACTATGGACAGTGCGGATCCACAAAATGTTGGCATGGAAGGTTTGGTGCAGAGCACCAGACATGTAGATTCCACCAAAGGACCAATACAGCATGGCTGATGCACCGACGGTAACAAAGCAGAGAGACCTAAATACAAACTTCTACCCAGAGGATAGAACCCTCAAATTGGACTGGGTATTGCCACTAGCCGCAACACATCTGGGAGATTATGGAGGAGAGCACCTTACCTGTTGGATAGGAAGCACAACATGGCAGCTTATGTCTCAGGAAAGGATTACCATCCCTTGCAGTCTGCAACAACAGACTGAGTTTTCTGGGATTTGGCAAAAGGAGGCAACTACAAGTTTAGTGGGAACTATGTAGGTAGGAGTGGCAGATTGAGGAACTAGACCCAAGAAGCCATCTCTGAAACTCCTTGAAACTCTTTGAACTTCTAAGTCCTTCCCCAACTATACTGGAAAATGAACCCAAATAGATAGCAGCCTCCTGTTATTCACTAATTTGAAGGAGTTGGAAACTATTTTTTAATTTTAATTTTTAAAATTGTTATTTTAAAAGTTATACACAGAGGAGTTACAGTTACATAAATCAGGTAGTAAGTACATTTCTTTTTGGACAATATCATTCCTTCCCTTACTCTGTTTTTCCCTCTCAACCCTACCCTTTTGTGATTTTTCAAATTATTAATATCAATTTATATTGACTGTATGATTAATTTGTGCAATTTAATCACACTTGTCATATTTTCATATATATATATATAGAGAGAGAGAGAGAGAGAGAGTGCTTTAATTGATTCCACCCTTCCTATTACTCTGTTTTGTCTCTTTACTTATCCTTCTCCCTCTGTCCCTTTTACCCTTTCCATAATAGCTCATCATTTATGTCTTCTACTTTTTTTCCCTTCTATATATGAGAAAAAAACGTACAATAATTGTCTTTCTGTGTCAAGTTACTTTGGTTAACATAATGAGTTTCACCTAATTCTATTCATTTTCATGTAGATGATTCAGTTTTATTCCTTGTTTTGTTTTCTTTTCCGTATGCAGCCCAGATTACCTCCAACTCACTGTGTAGCCCGGGCTGGCCTCTCAATCCTTCTGCTGCCCCCTCTC